AGCATACCATAATATATAATACTGTAAGTTATATTTGAGGTCTCCATGAAGCAAGGTTTGCATGTTTTGTTAAATCTGAAGTTAAAGTGGGAGTTTGCTGTATATCCAAACAAAGTATTCAGAATCTGTGTTCCAAAACTGTTCATTAGTTTGCATAATAAATGCAGTCATCGTAAGACAAACTGAAAGTGACATTGTAAAGTACAAGCAGTGGCATGTCTGTATATTAGCTAATATTGGTACATGACACATATTTGAAAGGATAGCTCATTATTGCTCTTTTGCTAAACAAATCAGCAATACATTGTGATTCAAAGAGTTTCTGAACACAAATTTTTCTTCAGACAAACTTTATGTGTTTCTTGAAGCGTTTAAATGCAATAGTGTTTGATGTCTTTTAGGCTAAAGAGATGTGGAAATTAGGTACTGTATAACTGTGGGTTGCTTATAGGCTGAAGAGTTAAAAAAAAATAAAACACAGTACATTGCAGCCGTGAAAGGTTCTTGAGGTGGAAGAGGGGGAGAGTGCAAAGATACAATACCAGGGAAAGAGAAGTTGTGGGAAAACCTAAAGAAATAAAAGCTAAGAATGGGTAAGGGGTAGGTAAAAATGGGGATAAAAAGATGGAGTTCTGGAAGACAAATTCCCATGAGAAATGTGGAATGGAACAATTTGTAAATGAATGAAGGCATGAAAAACATTTTCGTTGATCATTGAGTGCTGCGGATATTTGTGAACCAAGTCCATGGAGAGAATCATGAATCATGATGTCTTTCTCACTCAGGAATCCCTGAGAATGAATGCGGATAGAAGGTCAGAGTAAAATCAGGGCTATCAACTTAGAGAGATCATTCATTCTTGTTACTCAGACATATTCCTTGAAATGTGCAATGTTCTCTCTTTTTTACCAATGTAAATAGCATGCACAATACCATTTTGGTGATCTTGAAATGGCCATGTATACGTGTACTTCTGGATGTGTATTTGCATAGTGAAGCACTGGCTTCTGTTGCTTCTGTGGATGACAGCAGTAGACAGTCAAGAGAACTGTGGACAAGAAGGCTGTGTAGATTAGATGTTTAGTAGTATGGGATGATGCTGACTGTGGACAGTTATCAGAACTGTGGACAAGAAGGCTGTGTAGATTAGGTGTTCAGTGGTGTGAGATGATGGTGACTGTGGACAGTTATGAGAACTGTGGACAAGAAGACTGTAGATTAGGTGTTCAGTGGTACGAGAGGATGGTGACAGGTAAAGAAACTGTGGATAACAAGGTTCTGTTGATCAGGTAGTGGGTAGTATAATATAAAGGCCTGGAGAAAAGGTTTAAATAAATGATAAATATCATAAACAATTTGCCAAGAAAGCTAAAAAAAACATTACATGAAAAGAGAATGTTTTGATTTGACAGACGAATTTATGATGATAGTATCTGCTTGAAAGACAAAAGCAAAACTGCATGGATTTTACAGAACTGTAATTATGCATCTATGCAATGCAAAACATTTTTTAAGCAGTGAAGACAGTAATTGCATACCTTTTTGTACTACAGTACTTTAAAACATGACATCAGTTTCAAAACCTTAGACAGCTCTGCAATATAACAGATATAGATTTATAAGGTACACAGTAGGTAGGATTGTACTTTAGCTTAGTAGGGTTATTACATTACAAGCCAAAACCCAGTCATACTATATTTTTAAAATAAATCTCAAAAACATCTAAGGATTTTACGGTGCCTAGCTGACATAATTTGTTTAAGATTGGATTTTATTTTAATTTGTTTTCAATCAAATAAATAATAATAGAGAGCCTCTTGCTTAGTTCAAGGCCTTCAGCGTGAATTACATTGTAAAGCTTTCAAAAGTGTATATGAACACAATAATGTTGGCTAGGTCTGTGTGACTATTTTTGTTGTTTACAAAGCAACCCTATCAGAGTTATCTGACTTGCTATTCAAACAATTATAATCCATTCTTATCTGCTTAGTTACTTCCAATTACTCTATAGTTTCAGTTTTACTATCCAACCTGTGTATGAATATTGTCGACATTTCAGCATATTGCAAATACACAGTATTGTTCCTATCTGATTTGGCTAGTACATAATATATAACCTTGTAATAGTTATTACTCTAAAATGTCTCAGACTCTTTACTTTTAGAATATTGAAAGTGAATTGTTTCCTTTCCTTTTAACAGTCTTGAAACTTTTGTAATACACGGAAAGATGATAAAGATGATTTGTCCGAATTTTTACGTTTGTGTTTTACTAATACTTATACTAAATACTAATTATTTTTTATTTTATTTTAAAATTATTTAATTAATTGACAAGGTACTTATTATTGCAAGATTCCACTACAATTACATGATCAAAATAGTTGCTGCAAAAAATAATAAGAGCATTTTTTGTTCTTTTTATTTATTTACAGCAGATAAGTAGAAACTGCTTCAGTGTGAAGATCCCTGCCGCTCTTTTTTTTCTTTAACAAACTTAAATCTGTTTCCCTTCAGCAAAGAAAGGACATGTTGGAGACAAGATGTTCATTTTAGTATTTTGCAAGCAAACCTCACAGAATAATGATCAAACACGATGCACCTTACTATTACAACACGTGTGCCTCTGTAAAACACATAGCAAGACCTACTGTAAGTACACAGAACCAGGCTCAATGATCTGAGCCTGCTAATATGAGGAAGCCAAATCTGTTTTAATAATTAATAAATAGTACATAATTAAGTGGCACATTTTGCTCCACATATAGTAATTCAGTTCAGTACAATCTTTTATTTAACTACTGTTAACCATACCAATAATACGCCCTTTCAACAGCCAATAACAGTTAATTACAAAGCATAGCAAAGACGCATGGCTGAATATGACTCATGAATGTATAAGAGATAAAATGTGAACCTTAATCTACTTGCTGTAACTGCTCACTTACAGATAAACATCTCAAAGCATTTGCAAATCAGAAGAATTCTACAGTAATCAAAAGCAATCCTGTAGCTAAGAGACATCCAAACAAGTCAATGATAGCCACTGCTGCAAGGCCAATTATATCATTTTTTCAAACCAAAGTCAAATTCGGCCTCCTATGCTGGGCTGAGTTGCAAAATAAAAAGCCATTAGCTGGCTCCATCGCACCTCTCTTCTTTTATCACCCCAATGCAAACTGCATCTATGAACTCATTTTGTTTTTTTTTCTGACACATACTGTATTGTAATAAAGGACCCATCATCCTTTTCACAGTCTCCAGAAAGTACTCTTTTTTTTCAGATGGGAAAAAAAATATTCAGATGGAACTTTTTCAGAACCTACTCCAAATGAAAGAAATTGAAACAAACCCAGAGAACTCTGATTAATAACATTACATGAAAATAAACACTGAAATACACATTACGCATTACGCGTCTGGGTGTGTTTTGGAAGCAGTGGCTAACAAGTCTTAAGGAAATGAAAATTGTAGTTTGTTCTGAGAAATGATCTGTAAAACTTACTTTTTAAAATCAATTTTCCATACATTCACTCTGGAAAATTCTTTTAAACAATTTAAGTATTTTTTTTAATTGTTTGGCTGTAGAATATTGATTTCATTGTTTAAAGAGAAAAGCATGGTCATTGTAGTAGAAGACTGGTCAAGGGCAAAAAAAGCCCTTTGAGAAAACTTGAGGAAAGACCTTGAGAAAACTGTGGTAGTCATGTAGAGTATCAATTACAACAGCAGTTTTTCATGGTTACTGTATTGTAAAATATATTTATATTTCTTAATACCATTGCTTACCATGTATGACGTTAAGTGTTAGTTAATACCACTGAATGATTAATATGTATTGTCTTGATTTGTTTAAATGTATTGAATCATAGCGATGGTTATTTTGTTATAAATATACCAGTTGTACACAACATAGTTTTCACTGGGCTTGATCCTCTGGAGAAGTTGACATCCTATCACTGTATTGATCGCTCTAAAAAAGGGCTTTTACTATATATATACAGTTAGAAGTTTGTATTACATTACATTTTGAAATTGAAAATGACCTAAAAAAATAAAGGGGATAACATATTTACATACAATGAGTAAATAACAATTGGTTTTTCAAAGATCGTGTCGGCAATGACAGGGGCTGAACGAAGCTGATCCGTTTTGGCCATTAAAATGAAGAAAAATTAAAATCTTAAACAATTTGAAACATATGATATATTTAAAACGTTTTTTTGTAATCATATGCGAGAAATATAGTTTTCTTTTTTTTCACGCTTCTTTGATTGAGGTTATGGTATTTTCTAATAAAGTCGTCGTGCAACAAATGTAACACGTGTAGAACAAACTGCGGAATTATAGTGGTAATGGATTTTACCAGAAATCCAAGACGGAAGGAAAGGTACTGTAGATAACAGAGTATGTGCGGTACCCGAACGCATTGTATTTCCAGAAGTGTAAGTCTAGATTAGTTATCTATTGCAAAACGCAACACTATCCAAGGTAAATTTAGCAGTCAAATTTAGCACCAACACCTCTCATAATCAACGAAGTTAAAAATAAAATCCATCGTTATATCCAGCTACAGGGGTTTTACTAAATACAGTTAGTATAGCGGAGGAATACAAGTAACTACAGTAGATAAAATAACGCAATTAATTTTGCAATTAATTAAAAATCAATCCCAATGAAATTACTAAACTGTCTTTTGTGATCAAAAATGTTTTTTTGTATGTATTTAGAATAAAAGTGGGGTGATAATACTGAGGTTTAAAATATATTTGACCAGAAAAGGTTTATATTGGTACAGTATAACTTATCGGGTAATTGAAAGGTAAATTAAAGCATATCGATATATGGACATTTTTCGAAAACAAAAAAGTAAAAACTTTCTAATATAAATTCTATTTGAATCGGATTTGGATTCAGTGCTGTGTCCAAGATCAGTCACACAGTATGAACATTATAGCGTACGGGTTCCAACTTACCGGGACGGTAAATTAACTTTCTTACCTGTGGGTTCTGAGCCTTGGTGCTTAGGTTCAGAAGCCGTGTTCTGTTGCTAAGGAGAGGCATATTCCTTCAGAACATTCTCAAAAACCAAAAACGTTTAGATGCACAAGCGAAAATGCCAATGGTGAAGATGAAAGACGAGTATCAGAGGACAGGTTGCAAGGCAAGTCAGACCCAAGTGACTTGCTTTATAGATTATGAAAAACAGGCTGTGAAGTACAGACGGGGGTATGAACTCCAGCAACGCGCAGCTTTTCAGCGCCTCACAGTGGCTCTTACTATTGAAATACTAATTATTTTTAATTAAGCATTTTATTCTACCTGTCTGTACATTGGGGTTTGTACAGATATGGTTAAGTGATGCAGTCGTTAATTCTCTTCTCTTCTACTCTAACAAAACTAACATCTTACAGTAAATGTGCTCCATGACGCTCTGTGAATAGAATTAAAATGGGCTGTCATATTTTTGATAGTTAATAGCTTAAGAAGTGTTAAAAGAAAATAATGGTCATAGATAAATCTCTTGCTCTTGGTTTCATGAAACAATGTTTATTTTTACTTTGATCTTTGATCTTTGAAAAGAGTTGTTATTTTCTATTATGTTCGTGGATCCATGCACAGACCGTCAGATTATTTGAGCACCAGCAAACTGAAATTGACAGCCAGTGTTTAATATTGTCTAAAAGCAAATATCAAAATTGAATTTAGAGTGCAAAAATGCTGTTATAATGTTCTGAAATATTAATAGTTTTATTTGGACGATATCAGAGAATCACATTTTAGAGAGGCACTGTAAGACTTTAGCATCCAGTGATGAAAACCGAAACCGTTCGTCAGATGAAATCAACATTAACATACTTCACCTCAGAGGAAATATATATTGAGTCGAAGTAGACAAGGTACTGTTTTTCAATATGCTTAAAACTTCTGACTTGAAAACAGGAAATGGCATCGCTAGTTTATTTTTACCAAGAAAAACGGCAAGGCTCATTTATTTAAAAAAACAAACACAGTCTAACGTTCTTTGATGCGTGATGCAGAATGACCAAAACTCCTTGAATATGTCATGGTTTGTTATTAGATAAAACAACTGCATTTTCTGCATTATTGTATTATCTGCATTTACTGCATTCTTCTTCTTCTTCTTATTATTATTATTATTTTCTAAGGCAAAGGCTGTTGTGTTTCACATTTTAGTGGTCTCTACAGCACAGAGTCTGGGCATAATAAATGAGCAAGCTTGGCACACAGAAATGATTCATACAAAAGACCACCAAGCACAACAAAGAGCAGACACAAACATATCAGCTACCTCAGCCTTGTGCATCACCAAAGTCTGATGCAGACACTTGGACAGAAGGCTTATGTCTGTATCATGTGGAATTAAGAATTTGGGGGAAACCAAAAATTTCCACTTCCTTTAGGGGTGCTGATTTGAATATGGAAGGTACAGTATATGTACAGCACCTACTGTAGTAGTTTCTGTAGCAGTAAATCATACTATAGTAAACTACAGTGATAGTTTCTAATTAAAGATTTGGAAAAAAAAACAATTTAATACACTCAGTAGCAGCATGAAGAGTAGTAGTTAGCTCCCTGGAGACTGTTATAACATTATGCAATACTTTCTCACTCTCACTCCATTATTGAAAATGCGGACATGATCTCGATGTACTTATTTAATTGGTTAAGTAAAGAATTACGTGAAAACGAAATCTGAAAGTTTCCTTTGTAGATCACATTGTATCCATGGGACAATTATGTGAAAATAACAGCAACATTCAAATGAACCTGCTGTATGCAGGGTTTATAACCCAAAATTCAAAGTTTGATCTGGCACTGACTTCAGGGAAACCCAAAGAGCATCAGGGATAAAAGAAACATGATTGCAATGCAAACCTGGCAGGATCTTCCTCACTCTCATTTTCGCTAATCAAAATGGATGTCTAATGCTTGTTAGTTTATTTTCTGTAAATCTACAGTACATTGTGAAATCTAAAGGCAGCATAGTGTTAAATATTTAACTTCCCTGGGGTTGTTTCATTAGTACAATTTGAGATCCTTGATACTGTATCACTGAAAATGGAATGAATGAAAGTGCTATTGCCTCTTATGGATAATGAATCATGGATCTGGAATCCACAGTCAGGCAGGTTTTATAAGTCACCCGTTCTCAAAGTGGAGCAATTACACTACTATTTTCTTTTTAGACAAGACTTACCCAACCGTAACATATTTCATTAAACGTCTTGCTACTGTAAATAGATTAAAAATGTTCATATAACTTCATAACATTGTGTTGATGATTAAGGTCAGGGTGCCCTACACAACATGCTTGTATGTGACACACCGGGACTAGAATCGGACCCCTTTGTGCAATGCCATACAAGTCTTATTTCCATTCTTGGTTTGTTGTGCTGAACTAATCTAAAATAATTTGCTTACCATCTATATATAGTTCACTGTGAGTTAAATCATGGTGAAGGATGTTCTCTAATGACTGTCAGCACTGCAGTTCACTTTGGGTGGTCATCCTTATCCCTAGTGTTCTGCCTTTTGTCAGATGTGCAAGGCAGAAATAAGAATGTATAATTATCAGCAATGCAGTGGCTATATTTAACCTGTTAAAGAAGCATGCATATTTCTCTTTTCTAAATTCTAAAACAGATTTGAAGATTCAGCACTTAAGGACAAAACATTTTCTTAATGGCAGAAAGAAAAACAGTATATGCAAGTCTGGATCATTGGTTTTATGAGTGCTAGGTAATTATTCTTACATTCCAAGAAGGGAATGAGGTTTGTATCCTTTTTGGTTGCTCCTGAGTCAATCTTATGGGACGTTGGTCATTAAAGAAATTAATGAGTTGCCTCATCCACTCAACCTCAGGAAAAGAAGGGGAGCCAATTGACAAGTCAGGTTTTGATTGGTTGACTTGCATTGAGATAAGTATTCTGTGGAGGGGCAGCCTTCCTTATTAGGAAATGAGGGCATTCTGTCTGAAAAGGGCAGTGTTTTTACAGACCAAATACTACTTCTTATAAAACAGGGGTTCTGCTTTTATCTACTGAGTAGACTGTCTTCTTTGCTGATTATGGCTGTCTTTTTTTAATCAACACTACAGGGTGATATGCACTACTAATGTGTTATTGTATAATTAGGGAGATCAAATATTATTACTTATCATTTACACAAGAAGTGCACAGAGAAGGTATCTAATTCAGATTTCGAATAACTACCATTTTTTAAAAGTGCACACATTTCAAACAAATGTTTACCCTGAGTTCAGAGTTTACCCCTAAACTCAGGCAGATAACATGGAACCACTTTACTTTGAATCATATTTCATAGTACAGTATGTTAAGGAAATGGACAGCATTAATCAATATCATCTCATCAACAACATATCATGTTGCACTGGACCTACAAAGCCATCTATTAGAACCTTTTCAAATATATTTGAAGCACTTCCAGATCATGTTAATGAAAAAATACACCTTCCTTAATGCATTCAACATTTTAAAATACAATTTCAAGAGGAGGTTGAACCCTAATCTCACGCATTTCCTCCTACCTACAAAACCACTCTTCTTTCTCTCCCTCAACCCATCTTTGGCCTTGGAGCAATTATTGAATTCATTCCTGAATAAAGCGGTGTAGGTGGGGAGGGGGTTATTCCAACAGCCCCTGTTGTTATTGAGTTGGGTTGTTGCTCTCCTGCAGCAAATGAGTTACCCTATTAAAGCTCACTATTTCAATCACTCATCATTTGCACCTTTATTCACCAAATTACTGAAATGCGGAGTACATTTACTATTTTAAAAATACTGTAAACAATTCTTTACACTGTATACTGTTATATATATTTAAGTTCTTTTACATATCATAAAACACATCATTTGGGTAAAGCAGTAAAGCATTAACACATTCTACTCTTTTCACTTCGGTTACAATGCAGTTTTGTTTCTTTGGATGTAAGTTGTCAGCATCTGTCTTGTTAAATATTTCATGATCAATTCAATTTTCCTAAAAGATAAATTAAATGGGGTTATGACTGTGAAACATACAACGACATTCAGGCTTGCATCATCTTAGCAGCATGTTAAATAGGAGCACTAATGATTACAAATGAAACTACCTTGTGTTCTTTAACCTTAACAGGGCTGACATTTAAATGGTATGCATATCTTAGCTATTATCTCCTTTTCCTTGTCACACATTCCAATAAAGAAGAAAATTGCAAATGTTTCACTCACTTGTGCATGAAAGACTAATAAAGCCAATTAGTTCATAAAGTAGATAATTACTAAAGGTTAGGATCCATCATAAGACTGAATATAAAAGAGCAAATGAGCTAAAAAAATCTTAGAATAGAATAACTGAATTTGCAATTCCAAAACCATATTATCACCTTCAACAAAAAACATATGTGTCTTTGACACTTATTAAGCATAACTTTAAATCGGTCTCTAAATTGTAAACTCCCCCATTATGGACTGGCATCCCTTTCTGGTTATAGCCCTTCCTTGCAAGGTCTTCAGTTCAGAAAATCAGAAATTGTGAATTAATTACCAACCACAAATCTAAAGAATTGTATGCAAAGAATAGATCAAAGATCAAAACATCTGTTGCTGGCTAATTTGAAGGTGTTTAGGAATAATATGGAGAATTACAGCTGTTGTACAATTGATGCAATACAAGATAAAGCACAGCATCATCAGATCAACAGACTGTATACAGTAGTATTGTAAGTTGATCAGAGAAAGATAGAAGAGATATGATACCATCTCCCATAAAGAGAGTAAATAAATCCTTGGACATGGGATTCTTCAGCATCACTCTTCTTTCTAGGTTTACTCATGTGCAGCAGGAAACAGTACACATACAATTCATCATTCTCTGATTCTATCTGACAGCAGCAGGATAAGATGTTGTGAGGGGTTCTGTGCTTAATGTTACTATTTTTAGACAAAGACATAAAGCAGATCGCGCCTTTGTTTCTAACAAGGGTAGGGTAGTGGTGGGGTTCAATCATATTTGAAGTCCGCTTGAAATACCATGATTAATATTGTAAAAGTAAAAATGACAGCTTCTTTCTAGAACTTCACAACCCATACTGTGTGTGAGAAGACATTACTACTTTGGACATACTGTAGTTGTCTAACCCTTTAATTA